TCAGTCAGCATGCCAATCCCGAGTTCTTTCTGTAATGTATAGAACATGCTGCATGATGTTTGCCTATTGCTTAATCCAGTTACCAACAATTGTAATCATTTTGCCAACAATTGACTTATTTCAGTTAATTGACACATGGATGGATGTGTGATCTCACTGCCATTCTGTTTCATGCTAACCTGCTTTCACATTCTGCCACCTCAGAGCAAACCCAAATGAGGAGATAGTAGCCAAGGCCTTGGAGGCTGTGAGGTTAGTTAAACCAGGGAATCTTTCTCCTTTTAGTATCCCTCCAGCACTGGGAATGAGTCTCCATGCTCATGTACGCAGTGGCATGAAAAGTGCAGCTGCTCTGAATACAATTTTCACCTTTGAATACACTAATGACGGGATACGTCAGAGCAAAACCTGTTCTCGTACTATTTTTGCCTTTCTGATCTCAAGCTTATATAACTATAGCTGATGGCTAGTTTTAAGAAAGAGGAAAATGGTTTAAAGGGGAAGGAAGCACAGACCCAGGGCACAGCATGCTCATGCTGTTGGAGAAAAGATCTTCAGACTGAATATGGCAGATTTGAGTGCGAAAGCTTGTTATTTGCAGTGCCCTTTGTTTGTATTCTAAATAGTACAAACTTATTATCTTAAACTACGCCTGTCAGCAACCTTTGCCTCTTCAAATGTGACCTTGCACTGGTGTCATTCTTTGTAGCCTGTGCTGATTTTCCCTCCAGATTTTGTGGAGCATTTTTTATTAAAAGAGTTTTCAAATAAGTGGATGCATCATTAGCAGTGCAATTTGTCAGGCTAAGTATGTGTTGTACACAAGCTGTGCTCTGTACTGCTGGCACCATTTTAAATTTGGCAAATCTTCAGTGTTTTGTCTTGCATCCCACTACTCCAACATAGATGGGCAGAATATCTTGTAAAATATCCAATATAAGGAATTCCTTACTGTAATTCATATTCCAATGGGAATACTTAAATGGCAGGATTTCCTTAAAGACTAGATTGAAGTCATTTTGTGTGACAGAAGAAAATTGTTTTCTTGGAAAAGGCACATAGAAAACTCTTGGTGAATATTTGGGTTATCTTGTTCATTGTTGGAATTCCATTTTGATTTCTGATGCTGTTTGATTAATAACTGTCCTGTTTAGGCATGTTTTAATTTCATAAGAAGCTTCAATCTCTTCAACATTACAAATTCAAACCTATTGCTAAAGACTGGCTCCGGGTGTAACTGACTGTTAGCAGCTTTGGTACAATGTTAGCTCCAAAGATTGCCACACCTCTTTTGTCGCTCCCCACAGTGGTAGCATTAATCTCATTTATCCAAACTAATCGTCACTTTTACTCCAGGTGATTTTACTTGTTTCTGACAGATAAAGCTGAAAAACGAATGAACCCTTAACTTGATAATTTTTTTTGCAACTTTGGCACCTACAAGTACACAGTCACTACATTTTTCAGTGAACAACAACAACAAGATAATAATAATAAATAATAATAATCCTTGCATTTGATATAGTGCTTTTCACGTCGGGAGGACATCCCAAAGCGCTTCACAGAACACACTGTAAAGTGAATTGACTGTATATTTGTGGGCGAACGCGGCAGCCATTTGCGCACAGCAATGTCCCACAAACAGTTGTAGATTGAAAATGACCAATTTATTATTGTTTTTGGTTTTGGAGGGATTATTATTAGGCTCTGTGTGGAGTAACGAAACTTGCCCAAGGTTTCGCCCTCTGCCTGGGATTGAACCCAGGTCTCTCGCTTGCAAAACGAGTGCTCTAACCACTGAGCTACAGGACTCCACAAATTTCATTTAGAGAGCGCCTTTCACGTTGGGAGGATGTCCCAAGGCGCTGGACAGTTGGGTCAGGACCCGAGCAGGGGGGAAATGGTCAGGGTGAGGGGAGGGAGGGAGCGAGGAGGGGGTAGAGAGTCGAGAGGGGAGCTGAAGGCACGGTCAAAGAGAAAGGTCTTGAGACCGGCCTTGAAGGAGGAAAGGGAGGAGGCGGCGAAGGCACTGGGGGATAGAGTTCCAGAGCCTCGGGACTGAGAGGCTGAAGGTCCGGCCACCGATGGTAGGGCGGTTGGGGCGGGGGATGTGGAGCAGACCGGAGCCAGAGGAACGGAGGGTACGGGCAGGTACATGGGGGGATAGTAGGTCGGAGAGGTAGGAGGGTGCAAGGCCGTGAATGGCCTTGTAGGTGAGGGTGAGGATCTTGAAATCAATCCTCTGGGGGATGGGGAGCCAGTGGAGGCGAGCGAGGGTGGGAGTGATGTGGTCCCGAAGTCTGGTGTAGGACAGTACACGAGCTGCAGAGTTCTGAATGACCTGCAGCTTGTGGAGGGAGGTGCCGTGAAGGCCGGCGAGGAGAGAGTTCCCATAGTCCAGTCTTGAGGTGATAAAGGCGTGGACCAGAGTTTCAGCAGCGTGAGGGGTGAGGTAGTGCCGTAGTCTGGTGACATTCCGGAGGTGATGGAAGGCGGTGCCAGTGGTGGGGCTGATATAAAGTTTAAAGGACAGCTCAGGGTCGAACAGAACCCCGAGGTTCCTGACTGGCTTTGAGAGGTGGAGAGTGCAGCCTTGGATGCTGATGCTGTCAGCGCCTGAGGTGCGGAGGCGCTGACATGAGCCAATCAGGAGGGCCTCAGTTTTGCGCACGTTGAGCTGAAGAAAGTTGTCTCTCGTCCAGGACTCGATGTCGGACAGGCAGGCTGTCAGGACATCGGTGGCCGTGGAGTTGAGGGTAGAGGAGGAAAGGTAGAGTTGGGTGTCATCCGCATACATGTGAAGTAAAATCCTCTTACAACTCTTTGAGACGTTTGACAACATGATAAGGTACTATATAAAATGTAATTTGTTGTTGGTGGTGATTATGGGTATAATGTTCCATAACTGTGTTGCCAACACTTGCTGTAGCTGGTAATAGCTTTTAGTGTCTTGTCCACCAGAGACATGAAACTCATTTCAATTTGCATATACTGCTGATACATGATTATAATACATTAGGCAGAGTTGGCTCCAAGTTGACGTACTTGGCAATGGAATGTTGGAATCAAGTCAACCCTCGGTGATGGTCTTGGTACTCCAGCTCCTGAGCCAGGCGAGTCTGCAATACTCCAGAATATCGCTGAAAACAGACTAGCTAGCCTGGCTCGGGGAAGGGCACTGGGGGCAAGGATTCTCTTGTTAACTCGGCTTTCCAAAGCCCTAATGGGTAGAGTGGTCCTAGCTTAGCATGCAGGAAACTTGTCAGACAGTGCTTTCAGTAGCAAGCTACAGTTTTAACATGCATGATTGACCTCCAGGAGTACCCAACACATTCTGGGGTCTTCAAGCCTTGACTCTTGCCATCTTGTGCCTAATGTTCTCTGGGATTAGGTAAGTAGAATGCATCCCTCCAGGGGGTGAGTGCATATTCCATTCCAGATGTGAGGAAATTGTCTTATGTAGGTGGCATACATACGTGGAACTCTGTTTGGTTTGGACATTCTTAAACATATTAATGGGTTTCCATATGTATTAGACACACAACTGACCAAAGAAAAGCTTGCAAAAAAGCTGGCATTTCATCTGATTCGTTTCCTCGGATACGCCTCTTTTACCCAGTCAATGTATTGAACCTCTTTGAGCAAATGCTCCATGTATGAGTGGTGTCCAACCACTATGTCTTTGAATTTTGTCATTTCCCAAAAAACTGAATCCCACTAATGTAGCTTATGATACGAGATTGATATTTGTAATTCCTACATTCACACTAGACTCCTTTGAACAAAGCATTTAATGACACCATGCTAATCTTCTACACTAGCGCAATCTTGCAAGCTGCAATACCATGCATATATCAGGCCTGCTGTGGTATTTAAGACCAAATAAATAATATTTCATGGAACTTGTAAGTATATTGATGAAGCAAGTTGGCATCTCTACAATTCCAGAAGAGTGTGTGGAGGTGCTTAATGCAACTTATGAGTGTTATAAGTGCTGTTGCTGTAAGTAGTCATCAATTAATGCATTTTCAAAGCACTTATTAAGGGTGCATGTCGCAATGTCAGTAAAATTCCTTACATGCTAATTTCACCTATTATCTGTCCTGTGTTTTTTTGCTGCGCTACATGTCCTGACTTAACTCAAAATTGTTGTCTTTCAAGCGAGAGGTCCTGGGTTTAATTCCTGGGCAGGGCGAAACGTTGGGCACGTTTCCTTCCTCCACATACAAAGCTCTGGTTACCTAGCCGTAAGTGGGAACCCAGTTGTTGATGGGTGGATTGCTTTTTCAGGGGTAATAATTCCTTCCCCCCAAAAATAATAATAATTTGGTTACTCAATCCACGACTGTTTTGGGACACATGCAGTGCGCAATTGGCTGCCCTGTTTCGCCCACAAAATATACAGTTACTACACCTTGCAGCAAATTCTGTGAAGCGCTTTGAGGCATCTTGAAGATGTGATAAGGTGCTATATGAAATGCAAGGATTATCATTATTAACTACTAAAATGTTTAGACAACAGTGTGAATAAAAACATTACAAAGTGAACTTTCGCTACCTTTTTTTATACTCATCAATTTCTTCGCCAAATAACTCCCTCCCTGGATAGTCTATTCCCCATATTCAATAACAAATTACATTTGTATAGGACCTTTCACGTGGGGAGGACGTCCCAAGGACGTCACCACTCCAGGTAAAGTATTTAAATCTGAACTGCTTTTCTACCCTCTTCTGAAATCTGTATCCTTCAAATTGTTGACCATGTTAAACATTACATTTACCTATGTCAATTAGGATTTTGCATACTTGTATAAGATTTCCCCTGAATCTGCTCTTCAGTGTGAACATTCCCAGTTTTGTAGCTTCTCATAACTAATTTTGTCCTTTTCATTGTCTTTCACTGTTTCCCCTCCAATGTCAAGATGTACTGTAAATATGAATGAAATTATATGAGTACTACAGATATCTAATCCTAGATTCTTTGTTTTACTATTTTGCAGCATATTCTTTTGGTTCTGAAGTTTATCGTGGCCTTTAGCATCCCTGATATACCCACTGACATCAGAAATAAACTGTTCAGGCTGGAATTTGAAAGTCTGGAGGCCTTAAAACAACAGGTAAAACATGTCCTTCAACAAAGTAAAAAGTAATGGTTGCATGAATTCTAAATCATGGCATCTGTCTTTGAGGGGTTTAAATATACTAAGTTTGGCATTTGTATTTTGTCTGAATAGCTGTCTAACTACTCATGAAGTAATTTTCTGCGAATGCATTTATTTAAATTTTAATCTCAGAAATTCAGAAAACATATTTAATTGATGAATTAATTTAATTGAGTTCAACTATACTGTATTTAACACAGTGTTTTATTAGTATCTTTAACATCGTATCTTATGGTAATATTTACCTGGGAAGTAGGTATGGCTAACGGGATAGGGCAGAGTAGTGGAATTTAATGAACCCCTTGCTCTGAAAGACTCGATGTGCCGAATGACTTCCTTCTGGGCTGTAAATTTCTATGATTCTACTGCTCACACGAATAATGAAAATTGTTAATGCAAAATGAATTTCTAGACTTTTTGTTAGTTGCAGATTATTAGATAGAATAGATCAATATGTAGAAATAGGCCATTCAGAGCAGCTGGTCACTACCAATGTTTATACTCCAAATGAGCCTATATATTGTGTATCCATTTTCACCTTTAGATGCGACTCTTCTAAGTGAGGGAAATTATGTTGTATACTTTGTAAATACACACTTGACTCAAACTAGATTTTAAGAAGCTGCAAATGCTTTTCCTCATAAGAGAATTGATGCTTTATAAAATTGATGCTTCATTAAACTAAGCATCAGATATATTTACATGTGGGTCCTCTTGATGCTAAATATTTTGGGAGATATGTGATGATACTTGGCCAATGATTTTCTTCATTTTTAACTGGCCTTCTTTTGAAACAGGCCTGCAGACACTCATCAATCCACAACTTTATAGGCCTCTAAACATTCTTTGCTTAAAAATGGATAATAATAATAATAATAATCCTTGCATTTGATATAGCGCTTTTCACGTCGGGTGGACGTCCCAGAGCGCTTCACAGAACACACTGTAAAGTGAATTGACTGTATATTTGTGGGCGAACGCGGCAGCCAATTACGCACAGCAATGTCCCACAAACAGTCGTAGATTGAAAATGACCAATTTATTATTGTTTTTTGGTTTTGGAGGGATTATTATTAGGCTCTGTGTGAAGTAAGGAAACTTGCCCAAGGTTTCGCCCTCTGCCTGGAATTGAACTCAGGTCTCTCGCTTGCAAAGCGAGTGCTCTAACCACTGAGCTACAGGACTCCAATAGGATAAGAGTAGAAAGTGACATTGTTTCCTACGCATAAATTGTAGCAAGTGACATCAGCGATATTTCCTGTGCATAGCGCACTTTGCAGTGAATCATACAGCATTCTCATCACAAATATTACCACGCTTGCCTGAATGGTTTTCAGTTATGTTGAAAATAATTCTGGCAACTTAAAATGACTTGATAAGGTTTTCAAATTATATGATTCCTATGTTAATAAGAAGTGAGGAAGCTGCAGACGGTTGGAAAAAGCAGAGCTTCCCCCCTGCCCTTGCTCCGCTGCTGACTTTGTCACTGATTCTATTTTAGGGTCTCTTTTGTTTTATATCCCAGCCTTTTCTTCCAAAGCCGACAGAAGTAGGTCATCCATTCATTTATCTCGCCGCCAGTATAGCTGCACAACATCTGCAGTTGAAGTGAGGTTTGTTGTCAATTGCAGCCACTCTATACTAACTCTGTTGCACAAAATTATCTTCACATAAATTAAAAGTGCAAATGTTATTTATTGTGATGCAGTTTATTCTTAGACATTTAGTTTCAAAATGGATTTAGGTGCAATATTAAAACCAGTTATTTTCCGTGGACTATATATAATGTTCAATATCCTTCAATATCCTTCACTTATTAAGAATAAATTCTCTCAGTAGATTTCTACTACAGTGCATCCTGTTGTTTCCAGAGTGTTATTTGACATTTGAATTGTGTGTGGTGGGTTTTGTCAGTTCTCTAGCCCTATATTGCTTGTGACAGCTTGCAGTAATCCAATTGACCAATTTATGCTGCTGCAAGGGCACCTCTTTCTTGTCAGTTGAATTGGCATCAGTAGTCATGGCAGAATTCCAAGTTTCTGCTCAATACTAGAAGTCTTTTTGCCTTTTGAGGACAAAAGAGTTAAAATGGAGTGAAATGAAGTGCACTGAGGTTACATAAACATGTATAATCTTCAGGTCTGGAATTTCTCAAGGAGCTGTCCTTGATGTGGGCATCCAGAGCTGGCAGTTTGCTTGATTACCTTTATGGATTAGGAAGTATTTATGCTGAAATGAGCTTTTTTTTAAAAAAACTGCCAAACTGTGCATGGCAAACTGAAGAGGAATGCAGAAGATTACACAAAAGAGAAGGAAGGGACAGCAGAGCGAGCTAATAAATCACACATTGAATTTGTTATAGAAATATTTGAATCTATGCATTTTCGGAATGAGTTCAAACAAAATACCTTAAGTGGTAACATTCTTTACAGTGGAGAAGTTTTTGTTTAATACTGTGTTTAAAGGTAGGTGTGCAAATGGCCAAGAAGATGAAAAAACACTTTATATATATATATGTATAGACATTGAATACAAAAGCAAAAATGGGATGCTAAATTTGTAAAAGACTTTGGCTGAGCTGCTGTTGGAATAACAACAACAAATTACATTTGTATAGCGCCTTTCACGTCAGGAGGACGTTCCAAGGCACAAATATTGCATCTCGTTCTGGGCACCTCATAATAGGAACAACATCATAGCCATGGAGAAGTTCAACAACAATTTACATTGACATAGCACCTTTCACATCAGCAGGATATCTCAAAGTGCTTCATACAGGTGTCTGGGAGCCCAAACTTTGTGTGTGGGGGCAGTGGGAGAAGGTGGCTGAAAGTGCAGTCAAACAGAGAGGTCTTAATGGGATTTTGAAGGCAGAGAGGGAGGGGATAAGATGGGTGATTCTGGGTGCAGCTCCAGAGAAGTGGACTGAATGGCACCAATGGTGGAGCAGAGTGAGTGGTGAGCATGAAGCAGACTGGTGTTTGCTGAGCAGAGGGAGAGTCACAGGAAGACGTAGATGTTCATCGCAGAATTGGGATGTGGGGAAAGAGGCCAAGAATGCCTTTGAAAGTGAGGACGAGGATCTTGAATTGAATCTGCTGGGGCCTGGTGAATCTGTGAAGATTCATTAAAATGTCACTAGGCATGAGCGGTTATAGTTATGTGAAAAGACTTGAAAGGTTAGGACTATTTTTGCAGAGAAGGACCAGGATTAATAGAGAGCTTATTTGCACTAAATGAAAGTCTAACAAAGGAAATAAATTGACAATAATCGGCAGAAGAAAAAGGGGAGATTAGAAGAAATATTTTTGTTCAAATGTGGAATGCATTACTACAAATTGCCTTTGAAGCTGTCTCCACCAGCATTTAATAGGGAATCAGATTAAGAACATGAAAACTATTAAAATGTACAGGGAAAGTGGAAGGGATTTGGACAAGAGAAGATAATTCCAGTGAGGGGTGGGGGTCACACCAGCACAGACAGTGCAGGCTGATTAACCTGTATGGTTAGAAACTATAGTAAATGCAAATATTATTAATCCAGCTGTATTTAGTTTAGTTCTTTCTACAATAGTTAATTTATTCACTCAAACAAAGATTTAGTCCATTTCTGAAAAAGATTCCACTGAGGCTACTAATCCAGAATTTAATTATGGAAATTTTAGCTCCATATTCAATGCTCTGTACACAATTCCTCGGGTGGCTAAAGCTGTAGAGCTGACGGGGTTTGTCTCACCCACACTTGAAAGGCCATGTCAGCGGTGCTGGTGGTGGGGGAGAAGGTTTGAGTGGTTTCAATCCCAATCCAAGCTACAATTCTGCATCAAAAACCTGCATCTGTGTAAAGCAGAGTTGAATACCAGACTCTCTTCCCATGTATTGTTGGCTCTGTTTTTAGGATTCACTCATCATTCAGTTGCTTTTCTATTCTCTTCTCTTTCCTTCCCCCAATCTTTGCACAAGATTTCTGTGCAACAATACTGGATTCCTGCTAGTGAGCCTTGAATCTTGTTACCCAGCTGATATCTGAACACGGTACACTAGTTGAGGCCTAACCAGTGTTTTATAAAGGTTTATTATTAATTGTATAACTTTTGTATGCTATGCCCCTATTTATAAAGTCTAGTATTCCGTATGCTTTTTTAACAGCTTTATCTACCTGTCCTGCCACCTTCAAAGATTTACTTATATGAACCCCCAGGTCTCTCTGCTCCTCCACCCCCTTTAAACTTCATCTAGCTTCTATTGCCTCTCCTCATTCTTCCTCCTAAAATGCATTACTTCGTATTTCTCCACATTAAACCTCATCTGCCACATGTCTGCCCATTTTACCAGGCTGTCCATGTCCGTTTGCAGTCTGCTACTATCCTCCTCACTGTTTACTACTTTTCCTAGCTTAGTATCATCTGCAAACTTGGAAATTGTACTCCCTAAAAGATTGTGGCCAGAGCCTCCAGTATTTCCACTCTTACTTCCCTAGTAACCAAGGATGCAACCCGTCCGGACCGGGTGACTTATCTACCTTGTGCACCGACAACCTTTTTAGCACCTGCTCTTGCTTTATTCTTATCTTATCCAATTTCTCTACCCTCTCCTCCGATACTGTGGCATTGACTGCTCTTTCTAGAAAGTTATCCTGCACACATTTCAGGAATCCTTCCCCCTCCTTACCCTTTACATTGTTATTTTGCCAGTCTATGTCAGATTAATTGAAGTCCCCCATTATCACTACTCTATTGGTTTTGCATCTTTCTGAAATCTGCTTGCAGATTTGCTCGTCTATCTCCTTCCCACTATTTGGTGGTCTATAGTATACACCTAACAGAGTAACAGCTCCTTTTCTGCTCCTTAATTCTAACCAAATAGATCCGTTTTTGGGCCCTCTAGCACTTCGTCCCTTTCCAGGGCTGTAACCATGTCTTTAATCAATATTGCCACTCCCCCTCCATTTTTTT